CTAACGGATTTAATAATAAGGAAACCATAGTAAAGCGTTATTGGCCTCTAACTTGTCTGTAAGCCTTGGATAATACTCATAATATTTCATTACAAGCTGTGGCTGCGACTACGTTCGCTTGGACCTTTAGGATTAGGATTTATTTCCAGACAGTAACGATTATTCAAGTGCGATGCTGTTACTGTAGTGAATCCTCAAAAGTAATTATTTATATACACAAAAAAAGAATTAAAATATAGTATTCACTTTTCATTAACGCCTGAACCAGTTTTGCACATTTTAATTTACACAATGCATTGTAAATTGCTCTCGCGTGAGTTTGTTACTTAAAATATTTTTTAGAATATTTAATTTAGGTGTAATTTTTAACCGTCCGATAAAAGATATTCATAGGATAAAATACATATATACACCAATGTAAAATTACAGTAGTATAAATAAATTGTTTTTATTTTCGTTCAGGCTATAATGTATTTATAACTTTTATCAATAAACTCTTATAGAAATAAACTCGACAGAGTATAGAATATCATTCTAAGAAAAGAAAAAGAAAGATAATTTACAAAGATCCATAATATGTATGTGTGTGTACCTACTACATATAGATATGCGTGCGTGCAAGTGGTGAGATGACGTGCGTGAAGAGTGATGGGTGTCCGTGGTGTTTTATAAAATAAATAAAGAATTATACTAACTTTTTAATTAAATCTCTAAATATTTTCATTTCTAAGTAATTTGAATTATGTAGCCACTTCTCAAGCAGCACACAAGCGTTATGAACATCACAATATACCATGGTTTTATGTGACTTAGAGTTCTTTTAGAAGCGTATAATAGTGTAGAAAAAAGGTCGTTTCTTTATAAGAGTGTTTTATAACTTATTATAAAGCTCAAGCTGTATAAAGTCTGTATTATGGGATCTAAGTAACCTTAGGGTTCTTAATCAGAATATGAAAACTCTAGCTTACAACTGTAAGTATTTTGTAACACTTGATTCTCATTTTATCATTAAAGCTGTATAGAATCTGTTTTTGCATACTGTCACTCGTTTTTGGTTATTGGATAGGGTAGCATACGAGCACACAGTCCACCTGATGGTAAGTGGTTGCTGCGGCCTATAGACGTCTACATCTATCCTGGATTACAAATCAAAATGCAGATGCGTTGTCACCCGTGACGACTAAAATGGAATGCCTCGTTTCCAGCAAAAACGCTACTATTTTACGCTGGTATTCTGTGAGAGCGTGTTCCTACCCCGGTCGAGCGGACCCATTCGTGCTACAACTCTACTACTAATATATCTGCAGCATGGCTCTACCCCGTATAAAAATCGCTATCGCTTATTACAGCTCTGTGTTATTATAGTATCACTCAAATCTTATTTCTTAACAATGGTGTGTGTAAAGTGTTTTCTAAAACTTAATTTTATTGAGTAATTGTATACTCTTATAAATACAGTAGTTTTATTACTTCTGACTATGAGGGTAATATAAAACTAAAAAAAATAACAGCTATGGTACAATTGAAAACTGCATGCTGATTTGGTCGTGTGGAAAGAATGAGTGAGGAAAGAGTATCAAAGAAAATTTATATTGCGGAAGTGAATGGCACAGTCAGAAAGGGACGTCCTAGGCGAAAATTTATCGACCAAATTAGCGATTTATTGGTAAAACGGGTCAAATTAGGAGTACCCTTAACCGACGAGCATGTATGCGTAGGTATATGGATGTGAAGGAGGCGAGAGAGGTCTGTCAGGATCATGCCAAATGGAAGTCTGTAGTCTCTGCCTACCCCTCTGGGTGACAGGCGTGAGTGTTTACGTATGTATGTATGTATGAAAGCTGCATAAGTAATAGAATATCGCCATTTTTCATGCGTTACATTTTCATATTGTGTTAGTGAACAAAATTAATTTGTTATCAATATGTTCAAAATAGAAAAAGCTTTGGTGCAGTTAGAAGATCATGTAAAATCTAAATAAAAGTTATCCAACACTGTTCCCAAGGCAAGGTTTTTCATCTTATATACCTATCGCTAAATAGAATTGTAATATGTTATGTTAAAAAACTAAAATAGAATTGTAATATGTTATATATATATATATATATATATTACTATCTATATCTATATATATATACATATATATATATATATATATATTATTTTACTATCTATCCTCGATTACGAATCCAAATGCAAATGCTTTGTAACCCGTGAGGACTAAGATGGAATGCCTCGTTTCCAGTAAAAAGGCCGCTATTTTACGCTGGTATTCTGTGAAACCGTGGTCCTTCCCCGGTCGAGTCAACCCATTCGTACTACGTACAACTATACCTACTACTAATATAACTGGCTCTACCGCGTATGACATCTACTATTGCGTTGATAATGTTTAATATTTCTGAAATATATTAAATTTTGTTTATATGGCCACAATTTGCTAAATCTTATAGTCTCTAAATCTTAAATCTCTTATGGTCTCGGCAGCTGTACTATGTATGTTACGGATTTTATTATAAAGCCATGGGTTTTTAGTCCGTCGTGCATAGAATATTGTTACGCTGTATAGCAGTTTAATATATATATATATATATATATATATATATATATATATATATATATATATATATATATATATATATATATATATATATATATCGCCTAAGACGTCCCTTTCCGACTCTGCCATTCACTTCCGCAATATAAATAATTTTAATAAATAATAATAGATAGTAGATGTATTTAGGCCACAACAGCCACTTACCATCAGGTGGACTGTGTGCTCCTTTGTCACCCTGTTCTATGAAAATAAAAATAAACATTATTTTTAGCCTATACATTACTTTCAGTTTGACTTATCACTGTGTCCCAATGTGCCTTCATATCCATTTTTTTTTGTAATTCTAATCTTGTATCATCATTATCATTACAGACCTTTACAAGTCCACTGCTGAACATAGGCCTCCGCCAAGGAATATGTAATCCTGTACAGATTAAAATAAAAAATACCGATATAATATAGTTACCGTATTGAGTATTTTGTACCTATATTATTTGGCTATTTTGCACCGCATCAATTTTTGATAGAAAACATATACGATTTCACCGTAAATCTTATTTTGCAATTTCAATTCTTCAACTATTACCGTCAAACTCAACTCCAATTCGAATATAATATTAATCGCTGTTGTTAAGTCGCTATCATTTAATAATGTATATAAATAATTTAGAACGCTTATCTTTAAAAGTTACGTAAAAGACAATATCTGTAGTGTAATAGTTTCTTTGCGCACTAATTAACAGCAATAATACAGCTGTTATACAGGCTGTTTTATGCTTGTACAGCGCTACTAAGGCATAAAACTGTATATGTGAGCTAATTTTTTACTTATAAGAACTGCATAAGCACTTACATAGATACCTTTATACTGCCAAAAATACATCCTCTAATATAAAAACGAACTTCAACACAGCTCGTATACAGCTTGCGTGCTGCTTGGATTGGTTACTTTATTTTTGATATTTTTGCTTGCTTTACTTTGAGATATTCAAAAGATTTATAATAAGTCTGTTCCGAGAAAATATCTTTCTTACTCGCGCCCGAGTAGTTTTTTTCGGATTATAAGTAATATTATAGAGAGAATATTTAAGTAATATTTAAGAGTTAAAGTATAAGAGTCTTTCTTATTATTTAATGTTTAACTATGAAATATTCTCTATTAAATAAACTAGGGAATTAAATATGGTTGATTTTTTCTAACACATTCGGTCTGTATAAACAGGTGGTTTGATGTAGCAAATGCTTAGCTGCTTTCCCATTGTAATTCTTAAATATCAAAATAGTTGTATATTTATATTTTATTGCAATCAACGTAAGTGGGTGTGGGATTATACCAAATGATAATCCAATGGTTTCGAATAAAATTTAGCAAATATAGCTTTACAAAGTTAATGTTTCTTACATTAACATACAAACATGTGTCTGCAAAACGTGACGAAGGAAAATAAAATTCAGAGTTTTTAATTGTGTACATAATTATATTTACAAAATTGCAGTTGTTTTGAATAACAACAAAATTGCTTTAAGATATCTCAGTCGCAGATTTTTACAAAATAAACACATAGTTACACTGAGCTGCCATTTGACTAGAAATTTCTGTTTTCAAAAAATTCAAGATGCAGTTTAAGAAGGAGATTTAATATAAATGTGAAATTAATTTTGATTATACGTGTTTAAAAAATATTTTATAAATCAAAACTTTAATGGCGACACGTCGCGGTGTAGGTATCCCCTATATCATTCACGAATATAACAGACCTTATTAGCAATACATTAACCTCAGCACCAATTACATTTGGAATGTGCGAAGTGAGTTAAATCACATGAAAAAATTCAGAATTTACATTACTTATTTTGACTAGACTATATACACCACAATACACATACACAATACTTGGAAATTCTTTAACAAAATAGTAGTAGTACTCGTTAATCCATTTGTTTTAATTTTTTTAATATAAGTGTTTATAAAAAAAAACCTGTTACCGTGAATTTTTACGACAACTATTCTCCTCATTTAAGCATTTTTACATTGACTTTTTACTAATGAAGTCTAAAAAAGTATCCATATCCTGATAGGTATATGTTTATAAAATACATCAGAAATTTATTGCTGTATATTGATTGTACAAAAGCTTGAATGTGTCGATAAAATCTCGTAGATTATAATATCGATAAGATATGTATGTTATTTACCAGTATGGGATTATAGAGATGTTTAACATAGGTACTCTTTGGATGTAGGCTTGAAATTAACACGCGATTTGTATTATTTTATCATTAGATTATCATTCACTTTAAACTAGTTATTTGACACCATATTTTTATGGAGATACTAAACACTATTTAATCTTTTAAATAATTAAATAAAGAAAAATAATGTATTGCGTTGTTTTCATTTGTTATACCTACAACACCCCTTTAATTTATTGAATTTATATCAAACAGTATCTTTTCCGGTTCTGTACATATCACTTATTATCCTTTCAATTGGAATCTCGCCGATGGTAGTGCGGAAGAACAACTCTACAATGGTTGCGCTACAAACTCTTCGAATAACTGGCAGCAACTGAAGGAGATGACTTGCACGTGTGGTGTCATTGGGGTACATTCTCGCCGTATACTGTAATCAAAGGGTATACCTGTTTCAATATGTTATGTAGTAATAGTTTATTGATTTTTTTAAAATATAATTGATGTGACAGACAAACTTACAATCTATCAAATCGTAGTGGCTATCGCAGCCCTTGTACACCAGTAGCTAACATTTAATAAAGATAACTACAGATGCATTGTCACCTACGAGTATGAGGATTAAAATAGAGTGTCTCACAATCTGTAATTATAATGCTTTTCTTTTCCGCCAGAATACAGGCGAAAATATGAGTAGTGAGGTGTATGAGGGTGTAAAAGTATGTAAGTGATTTCTACCCAGACGGACTTGTAGACAGTCAAGAAGGCCTACCACATATTAGAAGACTAGCTGTTCCCCGCGACTTCTCTCGCCTGTAATTTCGGGCTTTAATTTTATCGCGCAGAACCCTAATCCTTTTCCTAAAATAAAAGTAAAAAACTCTTCAAAATCCGGCCATTTCGGATATTAGCCAGAACAAACAGACTGACAAAATTTAATTGTGTTGTTGTTATAAGTACCTACAGTATATAATTTCACATGCATTTAGTAAAAGGCTGTAATTTTAACATTACAGGCACTTCAATTTTATTTGTTTGTACAGATGTATGTACTATGTACCTATGGATTTATTTTATGTTTACGTACGTACGTTGGTTAGTTACGCACAATGATAAATCCTTACTGTTTGATTCCTCCAGAATTTTTCAATTTATATAACATTTCAAAGTTTAACACAAAAGCATAAATAAAATAGTATCTATAAACCACAAAGGCTTGTAAATAATGATATCAACTACATCGATATTTCCATAAGGTTTCATAAAGAGAAATAGAATACTTATAGATACGTAATATTACATTGTATTGCAAATAGTTTAAAATCGGGCTAAATTTATAATATCGATAGCTAAGGTTAAGGCTCAGATGGTTAATACTCGTTGTAAATATAACAGAACGCGAGTAACCCGGGTTCGATCCCCGCCAGCACTAATAAAATTGTTAATTGCAATTTTAAGTGCTGATTTACCACCTGCTCGGCGGTGAAGGTAAACACCGTGAGGAAACCTGCATGTCTGAGGAATAAGAAAAAAATACTTCGAAGACATGTGAAGTTCGCCAACACGACACGACACTTCCTTGCCCTATCAGAAATGAGGTGAGGCCTGTGCCCAGCAGTGGGACGTATACAGGCTGTAACTTTTAAGGTAATTAAATAAGTAAAGACTTGGTAAATTCATTTCTAAGTGTCAAGATCAGTGTTAAATAGGAAATTAGTTTCAATATTTTCTCGTGTTATTACGTAAATTTAAGGATAAATTGTTTTTTAATTAGGGAACTAAATAAGTAACTAAATGAATAGTTAATAGGTAGGGGTTTGGTGTTTTTACGTAGCAGAGCCATGTTGCAGCTGTAAAGAGCTCAACTGAAGACGGAAGTGTGTGCTATTGGGTTTCGTATAGTTTGTATCGAGACTCTTCTTACTTCTGGTAACGAGATTTTGCATCTCAGGGCATTTTGTTTCTTAATCGAGGTTGTACTTTGAATGTTTGTGTTAACTATTCTTACTTTTCTTTAAAAACTCTAAACAGAATTACTAAACTAATATGATTAGTTGAATAACTTTAAAAAATCATTGAAAAACGATAGTTTGCCTAGAACGCTGTTCATCGTTGATTTCAACCAACTGAATCAACATTTGACTGGGAAAGCAATATTTATTTGAGAAAGACTTTAATTCTTCCAATATATGGCGGTTAAATCCATATCAAGCCAAAAGTAAAATATTCAGACGGGCTTTGAGGAACAACCTTAAACGTTTGAGAGGTCTGGAACTGCAGTCGCTAGTCCGTCTGCCCAGCATAGCATAGCGATTACGACAAATCCTTCCTACAAAGAAAAAGGTCCACATTCAGCAGTGGGCTAGGAAGGCCTGGCGAAGAATTTGAAGAAGATATGTGTGATATATGTATAAGGCAAGGTCATTATAAATTATTAAATTATTTTCCATGTTTAGCCTACTTTACCTCGTTGAGAACAACTTGAGAATGGTCTTGTAATGCTGCTACAGCCGGTAAATCGTGAAGCCTTCTTATTTCTGTCCCTGCTAGGGAAGGACTTCCCCTAACGTTTTTTTCTCCAATTGAAGTCTTGAAAAGGACTATTGCTCGGAGACAAGCATACTCATTGTTATCGGGACGCACCTTTGCCAGTTCAATCAATGAGTGTATAAATTCCTCAACCTCCTTTACATCTATTCTTGGATTCTTTCCATCACATAAAATCTTTAAATCTATAGGATAGAGAAATTGTGAAGTACCAATAACAAAAAGATCTCGCCAGGACTCTTCTAAAAGAAGTAATCGGTCAGAAAGTGAAAGGGAAGTGAATGCTGGAACATTTTTTGCCCATTTTACATTCATGAAAAGAAGTCGTGCTGCTGCTTCGCACATTGCTTCAGGCTCTGTTGGACTAAGAAGTGAAGCGGTGATCGGAGGTGGGGACGGAGCTTTAAGAGGGCATGGCGCTAATGGAGTAGACAACAAGTTGATCCTCTGATACTCATTGTACGGGTTGTGGAACAATGTCATGGGCGGAGGTGGCAACAGATTGTGTTTAGGCAACGCTAGATCCAGAACAGGAGGCAGAGCAAGATTTACGTCTGCAGACGGAACAGCGGGATCTTTTAGGAATAAAGCCATTTGTCTTCGAATTGTAGAGTTGCGAGGACCTCTCTCGTGTTGAACGGCTGAAAATAAATAAATTATTTATTACAATATAACTATGGATAACTTTATAAGTATTTTATGTACATGCACATACGAAAGATTAACAATGTTATATCTAAAGTTTCCGTAGATACACTGATAATTTTTTTTATAAACAAAGGAGTATTTTATTCTAAAGTTTTTTTTGACATTTACACTGTCACTTACCGTCTCTGTTCATCCCTGCATCCAAGCACTTAGCCAGTCTGCAAGCGCGGCACTGATTCCGATGCGCTTTATCCACAATGCAAGCACCGGGACATCTAGCCTTGCAGGCGTACCTTCGGTCCCTACGCACCGAGCGCTTAAAGAAACCCGCACAGCCGTCGCAAGCGAAGACCCCATAGTGTTTACCAGAGGAGTGGTCGCGACAGACAGCGCACGGCACGTCGTAAAGTATGCGACCTGAGGAACAAAGGAAATAGTAAGATAGCTTTCGTGAATATTACCAGTCTAAAGACATTATTTAAATTGATAATTTGAAGCAGACGTATTAAAAATAAACGCTCATAACAAGAAAATGCCCCATTGCAAAAAAATATTAAAGTCAACGAGCAACGAACAAAGTAATTAGAAATATTTTCATTTTAATATATAACATAATATTATAATATTAATACATATGCATATAAATATTTATCTGGGGGCACAGAAGTGCACCCGCCAAGTTGAGCAAACAAGCGGCACGGCCGTACCATACTTTTCTCGAAGCAAATCAGTATAGAATAATATATAATAGAATTTATTTTCGAACCCCTATAATAATATATACATAAATAAATACTCACGCCTGTCAACCAGAGATGTAGACAGAGACTACAGACTTCCATTTGGCACGACCCTGACACACCTTTTTCGCCTCCTCCACATCCATATACTACGCATACATTCTTGTCGGTTAAGAGTACTCTTAATTTGGCCCATTTTCAATATATCGCTAATTTGGTCGATAAGTTTTCGCCTAGGACATCCCTTTCCGACTCTGCCGTTCACTTCTGCTACTTAATTTGCTTTGTTACTCTTTCCTCGTTCATTCTTTCTATATGACCAAACCACCGAAGCATTCCTTTCTTAATTCTGGTCACAACATCATCTTACAAACCACACTCTTCTCTTATCACACAATTTCCCACTCTATCACTCAGATTCAGGCCTAATATACTTCTAAACGACAGTATTTCTACTGCGTTTATTCTACTCTCGTGCTTCTTCTGCCACACCTAACTTTCACTACCATACCTTAAAGTACGAACTAACACAGTATTGTTAATTGCCACATGTGCCTTTTTGACCCATTCTGATTTTCCACAATAGGTTGTAGGGCCCTATTTATTTTCCTGCGTTCACTCGTCGTTCTGTATCCTTATCATAGTATCTCCCATCCTTGCTAAATAATATCTTAATATATAAATATTTCTCTATAATGCCTTTGTATACAGGTAGGAGTGCGTTTTATTCATTCATTCACTACGGCCTATCAGAGTCCACTGCTGAACTTAGGCCTACCTATAGATTGCTTCATACGAGGGATATTTGCCATAGTTGCCACGTAAAGACACTGTTGCCCTTGTTCTGGTTTGGTTCTCCCTGTCGTTTCTTACAATGCGACGATATGGGGTAGTGGGTATTCTTCTTACACCATTAAATAGATACGTAGATAACAATAGGAGTGCGTATTTTATTTTATACCTTTCCCATAAAATCGATTCGACTGTAATTTTTTCTTATGTAACAAAACGTCTCCGGGATTATTTAAATTTAAAAAAAAAATAAGTAGTTAATTTATTTAAAACTGTTACCTATTTGGTGCGACTTGAGGGTAACTCAAATCTTTACTGTTTTAAGACGAAATTAACGTACTGTAAAATATTATATTGCAGCAGTGACAGATAATAGTGTATCGTATATGTATATACTTATACGTTTTTTTATATAGCATTGGGTGACAAACGAGCACACAGTCCATCTGATGGTAAGCGGATGCTGTGACCCAATGACATCCACATTTATTCTCAATTAAGAATCAAAATGCTAATGCTTTGTCACCCGTGAGGACTGATAATGTGGGGTGTCCGTTTTTTTGTTTGCTTTAGATATGATGGAATGCCTAGATTCCAGTAAAAAGGGTTTCCGGTTCTCTACACACACCACTCAGCATTACGCTGCTATTTTACGCTGGTATTCTGCGAGAGCGTCGTCCTGCCACGTTCGAGTCGACACGTTCGTGCTACAATTATAATTTAGCTGCAGCAAGGCTCTACCGTGATAATTACATACTTACACGTGTTATAACATAAAATATAATTAAAAACTAGCTTTTATCGTAGGCTTAGTCTGCGTAGAATGGATCTATAGATCCATTATAATCTATTATAATAGTGGTCTTTGGGCGTTCAGCTATCGAAAAACCATTTTAGTTTTTTGTTTGCTAGAGTCTTAAAAACTATTTTCGATATGGGAATAAATTTAAACATTTTCTCATATTACGAAATTATATTAATTTCACGAAAAATGTTCTTATTAGATACCTTTATCCTTCATAACTATAAGTTTATAGTTATGAAGATTTTTATTTTAAGATTTAGATTAGTAGAGTAGTAGAAGATTAGTATTAGTTTTGTTAAAAAATACTATGGCAGCAAAGAAATCTCAGAGTAAGTAGTGAAAATCGATTTTGCATCAAAATTTGCTTTTTTCATTGCAAAGTGTCTTTAAAACCTTTTTTGTGTAAAATTAACAATAAAATTCTTCGAAACTTTATACTTTTATAACTCTTATAAACAAGTATAATCATCAAAAGTGATTTATATAGTGAGATTTTTATTTCGGAAAAAAAAATATTACGTGTTTTTCAGGTGATATGGCCTAGATCATGCCTGGGAGCATTGCCAGGAGTGAACTATCTGTTCTATCTGATCGTCAATTCTTATTACAATCGATTCGATTTCATTCATCATTTCGAAGATTAGCCCGGACAGACAAAATTAAAAAAAAATTTATAACCGTTCAGCATATTAAAGTGCATTAGTGAACCTAGCCCTCACCCTACAGATGGCCTTTTAGGGATATTTGCCATAGTGGTTACGCTTGGTGTCGGTAACCGCAGTTTTTTATTTAAAGTCGTTATCAGGGAGACGCTGCTTCCCATCGTCTGATTTTTTTCCCTCTGCCGCCTCTTATATACACCCATAGGATCATATGGGGCAGTGGATATATATATATATATATATATATATATATATATATATATATATATATATATATTTATACCCACCAATTTTACTGTTCAGTTGACAGAGGCGCTAGTGGACAGCTTACTACTGCCACTTAAAAAAATTTACCGAGGAAATAGGTGACTACATATATATAATTATTTGCACTTTTCCCAATGAAACCAAACAAATCACTCTCCTCACAGATCAGAATAAATAATAGCTTACAGCGATATTATGTCATTTATAAAATGGCGGCCTTTGTTCCAATTTTGTCCAACTGAACATATAAGTTGGTGGCAATGTACAAAATTTTTGTAATTCTATTTTTCTATACTTGAATACTACTAACAATAATAATAGATATTTTATTAATAAAAAATATTACATAATACCAAAAATTATAATTATAATATTAGCCTAACATTTAATACATATAGATTTTAGCCGTGCGTAAAGGCGCCAGAATAAATTTGGTTAAGGTTAGTTTTTTAGCAAAAGAGTAATATTAGAAATTGAATTATAATTTCAGTTGTACTGTGTAAAAATGTATTTATATGTAAGTATCTATTTAATAAAATCGGGGAAGTGCGGAGCAATGTAGATACCATACGATGTAATAAATCAAAGTCAATAAATTGTCGTTTCACTTCAGTCCAATTTAGTGAACAATAGTGGTGCAAAAGAGATTTTAAGTAGTAGGGAGCACGTGACTCCGCCCCACGTGGGGTGGGACCGTGGAAACTTGTCTAATGTATGTATAATGCTAACATCGACACCTGAGCTGAGTTCTCTTAAGAGCTTACGTGTTTTGACATCATCTAAGAAACTGTGTTTTAATATTAATAGAAAAATTTTATTAAAAATAGATTATACCCTTTTTACTGAAAACGAAGCATTCCATCTTAGTCCTCAGGGGTGGCAACTCATCTACAATATGATTCTTAATCGAAGATGGATGTAGATGTTCATGGGCCACAGCATCCACTTACCATCAGGTGGACTGTGTGCAAGTTTGTCACCCATATTCTATATGAAAAAACGTTTTTTCCTTCTCAACCACTCTTATATAATATAACGCTTGGCAGATATTTAAAATCATTAGTAAAACTCGTCACGCTTATGTTCACAAATCTAATTCATTATATAAATTAAACACAGTATCTCTAAACTCCCTCGGGTCATTTTGTCATGTATGATGTGTGTCTCGAAACAGAACACAATCCCACGGCAGCATAACGTTTGGCAATAGCGGCCCAAAGATAAGACGCCCTTATTAATACACCTCCAAACAAGACCGTAGTGGAAAAGGCACCGAGGCACTTCCATTCAATGAGACATCTCGCATAATACGCTGCACGTGAATACGTACACTTGCGGGGCAGGAAACGCGGTGTCGAATGTAAGATTATAAAAAAAGATTCACAAAACTGCCGGCTATAGACAATGTGAAGCACAAAAGCCAAGAAGTGGAGCTTGGGAACAATTTCGTACGACTTAATAAAACGACCATTGACGGTAGATAATGACAGGTTTTGTATATAGTTTTAAATAGAATTAAATCGCGGTATTTTTAAACTTTTTTATTTATGCTGGAAAGCTGCACATAGATATGTGCGATTATTTGTACTTTGGTACTTTTTACCATAATGCTGCAATATTATACCAAGAGATAATATTCTAATGTAAAAAAGTAGACGAAAATAAAACTACACTTTTTTATAGAAGAGAGGGCAAACAAACATGTGGCTCACCTGATTGATGGTAAGTGACTACTGCCGCCTTTGAACAACTGCAGCACTTTCAACGATATGATAGAAAATATCAGATTAGGTAAAATGACTGAACAGGTAGTTTCCAATGACTACATAGAACCACCTATCGGGTCTAAATATGAATATAAATGATCAAAGGACCCATTCAAACACACGCAAAAAATTTATGTAAATTGGTCGAGCTGTTTTTGAGGTTCAGCGAGACTAACGGACAGTACAGTTTTTATATATAAAAAAGGAGATGATCTCACGGTAGTTAGTCGGTCTTCCCTAACTGTTTTAATAGGCATTTAAAGTTTGGTTTAAATTTTTATTTTTTGGGTTGGGGTTGGGGGGTTTGTAATAATCCCCGGGGGTCCCAAAAAAATTTTTTAATGGTTTTGGAAAAAAAGAGTGGGAAAATTTAGTCCTTATATTTACAGTTAAGGATGTTATCACACAACGATCTATGTGATGGTAAGTATATATGCAGTCTGTAGTAAATTTAAGAATCAAAATGCGGATCCGCTGTTAGGGGCGACGAACTAATTCGAATGCCACGTTATAAGTATGCATTGTAGCCTCGTTACTTGGTGTTAGTATTAGAGTTGGACTTAACTCTAGTCCGATCCCCATCAGCCCTCCATTGAAATTGTTAATCGCATTTTAAGTGCAATTTAACTAATTATTTTGTTACTTGAAGTTTAGAAAATTTCTCGTATGAGATCGATCAACTTCATTAACTCAAAGTAGACTCGTTAGTAATATATTATGAAAATGAAAGGAGGCCCGTGTCCAGTAGTAGGGCGCATATAGGTCGTTTATTTACTTTATTACGTATCTGATTAATTTAATCAAATGCTGTCCCTTTTTTGTGTACCTTTATGTCGCAATTGGTTTTTGTTATTCACTTTATATGTATAAATTGATGACGACAGCGTTGAACGGTCACAGTTTATTTTGAATCTTGACTAAGAAGCTATTGTAACCTAAAACATCAACGTTTATTTTTAGCAGGAAGCCTTAACCTGAGAAAACTAATCTTTTAATAAGAAGTAACAGGTGATGGTAGGCTAACAAATATCATCTGTTCAAGGTTATAACTAGTTACAATAAAACTTTATGTGATAGTTCTCTTCATTTTACATGGAATACCTTTAAAGTATATAGTAGATATAAGTATATGTATAAAAAAACGAATTGGTTCACAATTAAAATACAAGCTTTTGTGTTTCGTGAAAAGTGAGTTGAGTGAAGCGGTTCTACTATATTATTCTTTTTTTATTTCATTTTGAAAAAAAAATATACCATCTTTTATTTAAAATTAAAATAAAACGATTGTAGGCACACGTATAAGTGAAATAAAAGACAAGGTTATTAAAATATTTCCGTTAAAGTTTCTTAATAGCAGCAATAGTGAAAAATGTTTTCTATATTTTACAATATTTTTAAAAACAGCATTTGATATAAAAAGTGGCCCCGCCCGTATAAATTTATTAGTTAAAGAAAAATAAAGCTATAATAGGCCTCGTCCCAAATTAAAAAACTGGATGAATCAAGAACCAGCGAGAGCTAATGAGTCATCTTTGAACCATAGAATAAATCCATACGTAATATCCTAATACTTTCAGAAATTATATATACTACATAACATTATGTCATATTATTATAATGATAGTCGTGAGCTTCCTTACTTACAATTTTAAAGAAATCCATGCACTTTTTTTTTGCTGAATTTGCTGAAATTACAAAATGACATCAAGATTCAATGAATGCCCTAGTTAGCGATGGTTATCAACCCTCCCGGAGCGTGGGAGCGATCACCTGTGACCCAACACATCGCATTGCGTGACACCTATGCCCATCAATCGAAAATGACCCGATATTAATTGCCACAAGCAATGAATATACCTTTTAAAATGCAATTAATGTAACGTTCGTTACAACTGCACTAACTGATATTTTGAGAATAACTCAACATTTTAACAAAAGAATAGTGAATTTATTTACTGCATGTTTTATTATTGTTTGGTAAAAAGATGAAGCAAATATTGACTTGACAATCAAATTTATATCTTTTGGTTCTAGTTGGATTATATTGATTCACTCTCGAACTTTATATAATTCTATTCTATTCCATCCTATTTATAGGTACATTATAATAATAATTAGACGTTTCTTAAAGTAGCCGTTTATTGTTTAGTTTATGTATTACCATTGATATTTAATTAACAATATGTAATATTTTAATAGTTGATGGAATTACTTATAATATAAAAGTACAGTTCAATAAATTTTTGGTAATTTTAAACCATGATAAAATGTAGAGTACACGATTTTTATTGTTTCAAAAATTGTTTTTTTTTTACTCCGTATGATATAGCTAATAGAAATAGTGCACTATATACCAGAAGTACTTATAGCTTTTAATTTTAAAAAATTCGTCAGTAAAACCTTAAAATATAAAATATTCACACATTATAAAAATTAAAAAAGAAAACATTTGGAAAAACATCGACGATTACAATTGATCTAAGCGGATATAATTCTAAATTCAGCCAACAATTCATTAAACATTTCAAAGTTGAACATGTCAAATCTTGTTAAAGTTTTGATATAATTTACGAAAAACAATTGACCGATATCATTATTAGGGAAACTCACGGGTGTAGCGTTAGGGTGTGAAGGGAGGCAGATGCGGCAGGGCATCCGTGGGAATAGCGCTGATGTTAAATTAGCCCTTGCACGTCATCTCATTTATATTATCATACTAAAGGTAATTAAGCAAAAAAATAAACGAAGTAGTCAAACATTGGTAAAGTATTATATAATGTACATTTATATTTAAACTGTTATAATGTAAGCTAATGGAAAAAGGTTAGTTTTTATCAGTTTATTTTTATAGTTTTATATGTTTATATAAATAAGTATGTAGTAACACTTACTTGATGATGTTGGCAAAGATTGCATTTCCATGGCGAAGGAGCAATTTGGTTACGTTTTCATAATACCTGTAACAAAATTATAATAGTTTTAAATTGTTTAGCAAAAAATATCATTTACATTACGTTACATTATATACATAACAGCAGTGGTTAAATGTTTATGTGTTGCATAAAAATTAATTCCGAAAAACAATATTTTGCTCTTTCGTAATTTACTTATGAAATTTTTTACAATGCTTTTCAATGTCAACAATCATTTCATTCAACAACTGTTCTTCGTCTTTATAAGCTCATAAAAGTTCACTGCTGAACAAGAGCCTCCCCTGTTTTAGAGACAATTTGCCTGAAGCGTGGTTGAAAGACGTATATGAATATATGAATATTTATTATATACATACATAATATAAATCATAGACAAGCAAAATAATCAATGCAAGCATAGAGAAGAGATTGAGATGAATTTTCACACAGTCGAGACCGTGCGAATGTAACCCTCAAGTGCCATACTGTCCCTTGCGGTTCTCGAGAGCTCTTGAAACTTAAACATTGCGAAAAGAAACAGAAAAGAACCAAACAAGAATAATTGCAACAAATGTAAGAAAATAATGCGCCATTGTTCAGTAGCCTGACTGTTCATTGCTGACATCTTTTTGCTATAAAGCTGAGTGCTACTTGTATTTCTGTTCATTATTCGCTTTGTTCTAGAGGCCACTTGTTGCACTAAACGGTTATTGCGTCAAGTACATACCTTATTTCGAGAGGTTAACAATAATTTTTTTTTAATTATTTGCCATATTCTCTATTCAGCTATTGGTATGTAGTAATAGCGTAGAGTTTTTTAATGTTATTGTAGCGGCAGAGGTAATACATATATAATATAAAAAATAATGTATTAAAAAATCATCATTCTTTATTTCTCATTGTCTTAAAAATAAAAGGTACACTGAAGAGAACCAAAGCTTCTGCGTAAATAATAACTAATGCTACCGGTAGCAAGATTTTCGCTGTTTCGTTTGTTTGTCGGCACTTAGATGTAAAAGTTGCATTTTTTCTCGCCATAATTACAGTTTCGCAAAACAGGTAATTAGGCAAGGATAATCCCGGTAAGAACGAAAGGACAAAAGCGCGGATAAGCCGCACCAGGTCGGATAGGCCCGGTGCGCATCGGAGGGTTACTAACAAAAGCGACTTCAATAATAACATCGGAAAGTCGGTAGCTTCTTGCTTTTAAAATTGAGATGCAGCAAAAAGTTTTGTATGGAGTATATTTTCCGTGGATTTGACTGGACTTTAATAGTTTTTTTCTTGGTTTGCGGTGTGCTGCCTGCTATTGTATCCGTAAATACTTTACAAGCAGCTGTTATAATAACAAACAATGTTTATATCATTTACTGATTTTCATAAATATTCCCCATGTTACCTCGTTCTGTTATTGCAGCTTATCATAAATTTGATAAGTTTTCCAGTACTCCCTTCCAAAGTGACATTTTATATAAGTATAAAATGTCACTTTGAAATAGAGTAAGTTTTCTGCATTAAAAACTAGGACTATGGTGAAAAGTACTTAGTCGTATAGTTTCCGGTTGTTTTTCGTCCTCTATTTTATTTTCAACCAATATCAAAAAACCAAACTTTCTTTAGACATCATGTGTGTTTTTTATATCTATGTTGATCGATTTTTCGGAAATAGCTGACTTGAATTAAATGATTATTACACTTGGGGGGTGGTCCCATATAAATATAACCATATAAATATGTAAAAAGTTCCATCCTATGTTTTTCTATAGGTGATAAAGATTTTAATGTAGCCATCTAGACGACATTCTAGTTGTAACCTTGAACTTTATCCAAAGCCCACTCGGAACCGACTTCAAAACTAAAAAAAAAATATGTAATTTTAACATAATAGCTACCGAAGGGCTTTGAGGCTCCGATACACTATATCTTAGCGACGGATTATATTTCTTAGCAATTTATGGATTTTATTGCGTTTAATTTCAATTATTAGTCTGTAAACATGTTCTACGTTGTAGGGCCACGCTGCAGCTATATTATGGTTGCAGCACGAATGAGTCGGCTCGATCGAGGAAGGGCCACATCCTCATTAAATACTAGCGTAAAATAGCAACTTAATACAGCTGTGTTTCGTATGAAGACTGTAGAGAACCGGACTCCTTTTTACTGGAAATGAGACATTCCATCTTAGTCCTCAAATGTGACAATGCATCTGCATTTTGATTTTTAATTGAAGTTTATGGGCCATACCAATCATGTATACATCAGATTTGATTAACGAAAAATCCTGGCAAGACAACACCTATTTCTACTAATTATGGGACTATTGAAATTAAAAAAAAATCCTAATATCACTAAATGGATGGGGCAACAATCAGCTTGACCTGTAATTTTAATAAAATTAAATCCAAGCTCATGCATACAACTGCAATACTCAAGACACTGAAAGCTCATTCTGCAAAGATCGAACCAAAAATTAATGATTAAAAGCTGAAGGAACAGTGATATCAAGACGTCAAACACCTAATGGACGACACACAGAGTCAGTTCAACTGATCAGTTCAAACTACGACTGTTCATATTTTTTAAAATATCGGATTTTCGATATATCGATAAATAAACTTATATATAAAATCCGATATTGATATATTTATAATTACCGATATATCGAAAATATCGATATTTTAAAAAATATCAAAAGTCCTAGTTTGAACTGATCAGTTGGAATAATCGGTTGAACTGACCGAGTGTGTCGTCCATATGTCTTCCTAACTCCCCGTGACCGTGGTGCAAAACACCAAAACGTCGGAATTTAAAAATATTTTAAATAAGTGAAATTAAACACCATATAATCCTTAAAATTAGATTTATTAAAGTAGAAATGTTTATATAAATTTATACAATTATAAATTTTAATGAATAATAATAATAACAAAACGAATTTTATTACTTTGGATAAGCATTCATATTTTCACAGGCAGTTCATCACTTTAGGAGCATTTATTTGAAAGGTTAAGCGTAGTAAAATAATCAATACTACATTTTTGAAATGGTGAAAGCTTTATCCTGATGATTATATACCCTGATGATTATATACCCTGATGATTATTTTATGCCCTAAAACCTCATTTTCTTAAACCCTTCAGTTGAAATATCGAATTCACGTGAAATATTCTCTGAGAATAACGCCGGTAATAGACAGACACTGTCGTGATTCCGTAAGTGTTTATCGCTTAGCAAAATTTTTACACAAAAATGTGGTAATTGTAAAAATTACTTATTTAAGAAACATCTGTTGGGGAAAATGGACGGTTAATGAACTTGTCGAAAAGTTAAAAATTCAGAGAAGTGGTAAAATTAAAAATTTTGTAGAACCGACTTCAATATAAATAAGTATATTGAGAATATCATCAATGTAGTCGAAGTCAATTAAATACGCATCATTAAAGACAACTTAAAAACTACAGGTCAGATCTTGATCAAATTTATGTGGGACCACCATAAGCAACAGCTTTCGAATAAAAAAAGAATAATCACACATAAAAATACTGACGAATTGAGTACCTCCCCCTTTTTAAAGTTGGTTAAAATATTCGTAGAGATAAAATAAATATTCGCGACATTTTTCTCGAAATTCAAGGTAATATACTTACATTTGATGCTTACGTAGATCGTATTGTTCTACGTGAAAACTGTTTGTAACGAAGTTAAGGAAACAAAATTAACTTTCAATAAGCGTGTCCGTAGAACGTTAATGTGTAAAGTAAACTTTAACGGCTTCACAAGTAAGTGAAAATTAATTTATAACGTTAGCAGAACCGCCGACGTTATCAGTTTCAATTGTAAATTAATTTAACGCCACAAATAACGCCACGGAAATTTATTGGTAAAAATTTAAATTTAGTATTAAAGTTACAGCCTATAGTTATACGAATATAAGTCTGGGCACACGCCTCCTCTCATTTCTGAGAGGATTATAGGCAAGGAAATGTCCGCCGCGCTGCCTCAATGTGAACTTCAAATGTCTTCAAAATATTATTTTCCTTATAGCTCAGACGTGCGGGTTTTCTCACGATGTTTTCTTTCACCGCCGTGTGCGTGGTAAATCAAGACTTAAAATTTCTAGCCATGGTGGCCCAGGAGCTAAGCACTCGCTACAAAATCCCCGCTGGCACCATGAAATTTAGTATATAATGTATTAAATCCCATAAAGCAAAATGTAAAATTATATTTTATTTCTATATTATGATGGCATTCTATAAACCACTTTTAACAATCAAGTTAAGTATTCGGAATAAAGCTTTTAAAATATGCAGAAATTACGCAAATGAAAAAACATAAATAAAACTTAATAATCCAGATATGCTTATAATTTTATATAGTGCCGATCAAGCTGTTTTTTCGTCAATTAGCTCCAATATCATTCAGTAAAGGATCTACTCAAATGAACTTGGTTAGGTTAAAATATTTAGCAAACAGTTTGTTTTTACACTTTGAAAATCATTTAAAAATCTTTTCTAATATTTAGGCAATTACTCATCAAATAAAATAAATCGAATATAAATATAAAGTAAATTAAACTTAATTATTTTTCAGTATGTAATACAATATTTATAAGTAGTACCTAATAAAAATGTGTCCTGTGTGCGACATGTTTAGCTTCGTATAAATTTAACCAAGACGAAATGGTCATATCATACAAGAACCGATTATCATAAATGGTCAGATTCCTGTTGCTCAAGAGCAATTGATAAACGAAACCAAATAGCGTAGTTAGGTGAAACATCTTCGAGAAAGAAGCTGGTATGAGAAGGCTGAGATAGAAAGAACAATGCTCAGAGTTTCTCTGACGGATAAAATTCATACGTGGTAAAGCCACGCTGCAATTATATTATGGTTGTAGCACGAATGGGTCGGTTCGACCGGGGAAGGACCACGATCTCACAGAAAACTAGTGTAAAATAGCAGCTTAATACTGCTGTGCTTCAAAATTGTGTAATAAAATTTATC